ACAGACTGAAAGGAAAGCAGCCAGCCCTCGGGGTGGGAGACACCACTTAGGGATGAGAGGAAACCAGGCTGCTGCAGCAAAGTATCTTTACTTACAACCTTGGAAGGCAAGGACCAACATCCCAAGGCAGGATTTCTAGGGTAGAAACCTGTGCTTTTTTCCTCTCCATTAATTTAGTTTTAGTCTCTTTAAAATAAGTTAAAAGTAATTTTTTAAATTAATTAATAAATGGCTCCAAATATAAAGGCTGTAGCATGTCTTAGGAGAACTTGCTCTTAGAAGTATCTACTTCTTCTACCTACTTCAGAGTATGGACTGGCTCAGTTCTCATTGTGCACAGCAAAACGATATTAATGAGGAACGCAACATGTTGGGAGGTTACTTCAATATCTGAAAGGTTAGAGAAGCACATTGCCCGTGTCCAGCCAGGGCTCTGTGGAGTGCTGGCAGGTGCTTTGCAGAATGCAGTTCTTCACAACTCACACTGAGATGTTTACATGCAGAGCTGTCTTGGTGATACATAACTGTGTTTATGTAAAAATAAAACTTATTAACCAAGGGTAACAAATGGGGCTCTTCCCAGCATTCCCTTGTAGAAGGCATCTTTCTTCATAATTGGAACTATAAATATGAATACAGTGAAACTGGTTTTTTGTATTCCTGTGTGTCAGTTGCACCAAGAGTGGAGGATTTGCAAGCACAGGTTTTCTCCTAAATAAGGGATAACCTATGATACTTGATTAAGTTTTCATCTCCGAAGACATTCCTGCATTTTGACACATTTTGAAAAGGATTTAATGTGGATTTAAAGCTTTTTGCAAGAAGTGCCTCTAAACGTTGGAGTAGGGAGTGGAGACATAATACTACTGTAATTATCAAATGGCCTTACACTTGGGTGGGGAAAATGTCTTGAGAAATAATACTCGGTTTTCCAGGCACACATAGAGAATAAATTATAGGAGGACTGTGTGCTTGATCTCTAAATGAGGGCAATAGAAGGGTAGCAGCTATTTGTCCCTATCACAGTGCCAAAGGAGAAAACAGTCTTTGAAAAACATTGACTGATGTTTGTGTTGCTTCTCGAGCTTTTTCCTGTAGTGGTCAGGTGCTGATGATGTTAATTTAGAGCAGTGCTTTGTTCATTTTGCCCCTTTCATCCCTCTAACGTGGATAATGTATATGCTAGTACTCCTAAACATGCTAATTACTAGCCCTCACTGTTCCTTTATACAATCAAGCATTAAACTGCATATGAGGGACACTTCAAAATGCTTTATAAGTATAGAGATAACAACTTCTGATGGCACGGAATTACCAGAGTGCAGATATTATTTTCTGTGTTTTCCCACAAGAAATCACAGCTGGATTTTGCTTTTATAGATCAAACTCTTTTTTCACCCTGATATTTCCAAGCCATTCTCATAAATGGATCTTGTTATTTCCTTATGCTGCTGATAAGGCTACCTTAACTAGTGGGTGGAATTTGATCTCTCTTGTGTGTGTGTGTGGTTTCTCTGCTGCTGCAGTGGATGCTGGGGTGGAAGGAGAGACAAGGTGTGCAGTACCTGTAAACCAGTAGTGTTAGCTGTAGTTCCCCTAAAATGCACTGGTGCAAAAAGAAAGTGAGGGTGCAAGCATCAGAAAAAGGATTATTAGAACTGCTTCAAATTTAGGGGATCGTTATGAAGCCTGAAAGTGCTACCTAATGTTTGGCTGTGGATACGTGGTTGTATTGGGAATCCAGATATGCCTGTGAGGCATCACTATAAGTTATGATTTTTCCTTGTTTACAAAATGCTGAAGTTTAAAATGGTTTAAATGAAATTATGTTCCTACCAAGAAAAGTTAGGACTTCTGAGAATTCAGTGAATGACTTTCAACTATCTATACTACAATTTACTTTTAACTTTTGTAATAAACTGTTCTGTTTCCCACAGAATATTTATCATCATTATTCAAGCTGGCTCAGTTTCACCTTGTCTGTTGAAGGTCATAATTTTCACAAAACTTCTAGTACAGGCAGCCTTCTGGTTTCATGCTTGTCTTCCTTCTCCAGCCCTGCAATGATTCTCCCATAGCTCTGTTGCTTTTGGAATAACAAGAGAAGTATTTTTTACTATAAGTATTTTGAACGTAATTGACACCAAATGTTGACATACCATAACAAAACAGGGAAAGGAATATACTTTCACGTCTGTTGAAAACTAGACATGTCCTTTGTAGTGCATTTTGATATGCTTAAAAGTTTGCTGTTCGTAATCTATATGATCCATGGGCTCTGAATGTAAATAAAATAAATGAGCTTACAAAATTGTATTTGACTTCTAGGCGGATTCTCAGTGTAGTAGGTTCATCCAGCATTGTCGTGGAGAGACTTTCTTTGTTCTCTGAAAAGCTCATAACGCCTTCAGAGAATGCTAGAGATGAGAGAGAGCCTGGTTTTGACCAAGAATGCTCCCCAAATAACAAGCCTAGGTGCATCACATGGAGACATATACCTTGATATTTTTTTTACTGTTGAGTTTACCTTCTTATTCTGTTTCTGCCCCCTCCGATGTCACTGCCTCTTCCTAGATGACAGCAGAACCACGAGCCAGCTGGATGAGTTTCAGGAGTGTCTGTCCAAGTTCACACGCTACAATTCTGTCCGACCGCTGGCAACGCTGTCTTACGCTAGTGACCTCTACAATGGTTCCAGCATCGTATCCAGGTAGGACACGCTGCTGTTCTGACAGCACATCATGTGGATGTGGGCTGCTGAGGCTGAGTTAATAACCCATACTAAGCAAATTATTGTTGATATATGTGCCAAAAATATTTCCCAGAAATATAGTTTTGTCGGTGTGAGACTGTGTGTGACGATTTTGTGACTATTATTGATCTGTGAAGTTACTCAGGTTCCTCAGTAGTACTTTTTATTCCTGTTGATGTTGGTCAAAACCATATCCGGCACCTTTGAGGTGCCAGTATCAGCAGTTGTTGTACAAAGCCTATTGTCTTCATGTTATTTAGCTTAGTTGTGTTGTAAAAGATGCAGTTCTGGCATTTTAAAAATCAACCATCTTGTTTGGTAGTCTTAAGAATCTGTGGTGGTTTTCCATTTTGTTGGTAGATCCAGTCACAATGGCAAATATTAAAAAGCTGAGTTGTTTTCAGCTGTGATTGCTTGAAGTCTTGGGCTTTGGAAGCTGTTTGTAGTGCTGAATACTAGTGAGGGAGTGGTTGTGGTAAAGCCAATGCAACAGTTCTGTTCTTGCCAGCAATTCTTCTGTATCCCAGCTTGTGCAGGATGGTGATGTCCTGTGTACTGCTGCTGAAGCTCATCTGAGCCTCCTGTGGACCAGTTTTGACAACATAACTGACTCTCTTTCAACAGAATCAGTTTTTTCTAGTTCGGGTTCATGAGCCAGCTCCCTTAGGAATCAGACTATAAGAGAGCACATGAAGAGGATGGCAGTTGTCACAGCCCTAACCTTAAACTGGTTTCTCCCTACCCTGGGGATTTTGCTTGTTTGTGGTAGTTTGTCTCTGGGGCTCCTCGGGGTATTAAAAATGATGGAACATGTTAACTAGGATATCTTCTCTGCATGATGTATGTGCAGGACCTATTTGAGCTTCTTGCAAGCACATTTCAGTAACTTAAATGTTTATTCACAGCAGTCTCTTGAGAGAAGTAGCATCATCCCTGTTTTTTATATGGGAGCAGGAACTCCAAAGAGACTGTACATGAGATCTTGGAAAAAACATTATGTTGACAAGATAGATAGATTAAGCTTGGATTTTCTGACTTTTCAAATAGTGCCTTACAAAGGGGCGACATGGAGAGTGACAGAAGAGCTTGAATAATTGGTGAGGGACCCCAAGAAATTTGTACTATGTGAAGAAATTGGAGGCATTGTGTAGCACAGAACACATTTTGTTTAAAGCGGCATCGATTCCTTAACTACTGCAATATGTAGCAGGAATGTATAATGTCTGACTTAAGCAGAGGTCAGAACACAGTAATCAGGAATCTGATGTATATTTAACCTGCACTGATTGGGTTCACACCAGCTGCAATGAAATGCAGATGGGAATCTCACTGCAATGTAGACAAACTTTCTCAGCTACTGGCTTCAGCGTGGATTGGATTTTGCTCCTTTGCCCTTTCTTCTCCTTGACATTCTGCAAGAGCAGCATTTTCGTGGTATTTGGTTAGAAAATGCTGGAAGGACAGTAATTTTTGGGTGAAATATATGTTTGAAAAGTATGTGTTACTGTTACAATGAAGATAGAGTGAAGCCTTCTTCCAAGCCAGTCCTAGAATTGGTCATTAAATGCACTTTACTGAAAAATAACTTTTTCCAAATCCATGTTCTCCCCTTGTCATGGTTTTTATTTATGAAACCATTTGAGACATTTTTAGGGGTTTTAGTATGTAGGCTGAGTAAGACAGTTGAGTTCACATCTGAGCACATTCTTGTAAAGTAGCTTTGCTGAATGTGCTGTTGCCGTTGTTCTTGTTGGCTTCTGGCTATTCAGACAGTTCCTATTAAGTCAGAATTTGTTAATTGAGAATTTTACACTTATGTGTTGGCCAACACAGTCTGGTGTTCACCTTCTCTTTCATTTAAACTAGTAGCCTCAAGGTCAGAGAGTCTGTGAAACTAAATAAGAGTAGCTTTTAGGTATTCACAGATGAGCCAAATTAATGTACTTAAAAAGTGAAATTATGCTTTTAAAGTGCTGTGACAAGTTTGATTGTTTATTTGGTCCACTACACTGATCTTTAAATGTTTTCCTCGGCATGCAGTAAGAAACAGTGATGAAATGGCAGAAGGTTAAGTCTTGGTGATTAGCTGTTGCTATTGAGACAAATGGATTTACATACAGAGTTAGCACAAGACTAATACATAAGTCTTTTTAGGAAGTGTTTTAAAGTGTTATTTTAAATATACATAGGATTAAAAATTGAACTGACCTGAAGTTGAATTTCCTTCCCCTTAAGTTTGCTTTGTTTTTTTTAATAAGCTCTTGTTGCAGATGGACAGAAGACAAGAGTGTCTGAGTGTTTTAACCCTACATGAAGTTCACAGATGACTCCAAAAGATCTACTGGCTAAACAGCTTTTTTTTTTTTTTTTTTGAGCTATATTACCTTTAGGTTCACAAAGGAGAACGATGTAAATATTTCTTATCTGCAAAACACATATGTTTAGAAGTTAAATAAAATTTGGTTTATGCTAACAGGGTGAAAAGTTAAAGTTAATTCAACTTTAATTAAAGTTAATTAAAGACTGTACAAATAGGCTGAAAAAATCCTGGAACTGGGCAGCAGCAATACCCTCCTGAGAGCCTTGTGGTGAGAACGTTTATGGATGTCTTAACTTACTGTGGACTATTAAAGTACTGTAAACATACGTATGTTGTGTTACTAAAAAAATTCTGATTAGGAATTGTTTAGGAATGCTCCAGTTACCTTCTGGAATGAGGAGGCACACCAGGAAAATTTAAGCCTTTTCTCCTTTTTCCCTTTTTCTCTTCAAGAATAACACATTATCAAGGAGAATGTTCAGGGAAAGCATATTTGAGACTTTGCTATTGCAGGTTACTCAGTTTTGCTGTAACATCAAGGGGACTTCAGCACACTTGCAGTGTGAATGTGCAAGTATCTCAATATGCTAAATGACTTTTTAATACACTCACTTCTCCCAAGTACAAAGTATTTACAGTTTTCACAAGTATATTACATTTTGTTAGAATTGAGCCAAGGAATACATTTTCCATTTATTATGCCCCCAGACAGAGCAGTTGTCAGAGTTTAACTTTCCTTCTCTCTGCTGGCAGTGGCAGTAAATGTAGTCTTTTAAAGATGAGTCTGCAAACTGCTGTGTTAGCATTACAGTGATTTATGGAGAAAATTGCTTTACCACTGTCAGAGGCCTTCAGAGAATACTGTGGCAGTCTTTCATATTTGAGAAAAAGAAGAGGAAAATCCAAGGAATCTACTACAATGGGATGTCTCTCTGAAACCTGGGTATCAGAAAGCTGGTTCTCCCTGCTCCATGATTCCCAGCTCTGGGAACATGAGTAGGCTCTAAGGTTTGGGTGCTTTGTGCAGGTTTTTGTCATTGGCCTAGACTTCAAATTCTTCTAGATTAGTTTACCGTTTCTCTGAGAGATCTTAAAGTGGCATTTAAAAACTGACACTGTGTCTAAAGGCTCAGTGGTTTATAGAGAGGGAAATAAACAACTTGTGGTTTTGGCTGCAGAAGCCTTGATCAACTCAGCTGTTGAATCATGATCCACTGTTTAAAAACTGGTTCTTACCTTTGGTGTCCATGATATTTTTTTCAATGCTTACTCATTTTTCCATTGCTCCAAAGTAACGAACCAGATGGAAAGAGGTATCTCTTAGCATCTGAACAGTATGATTAAATCTGTTCCAAGATTGCATTTTTGTGTTCATCCTTTCAGTAACATGACCTGAAATCCTTTCTTCAAAGGTGAGTTTAAAAGAAAAAAATACATTGAGCGAGTTTTTCATGTATTCATTGAACTGCTTAATTTTTCTGTTCCCCTTTTTTCTTTGGACTACAATTACTTGCCCATATAAATTCTCAGACCCGGACTTTAACAAGATACCTTTTAGTTCTGTATCCACCATAACAAGTATATATTTTTTTTAATGCTTGGGCTGGCTTGGATTAGATGAGCCATTTTGTTGTAACCAGCAATGCTTCTTTATCTCAGAGGTAAAGATAAATGAATGAAATGGAAGTGGGTTTATCCTTTACAGGATTATGTTTGAGTGCAGTAGATGCTGCTCCTTAAGAAATGAGGAAGACTGGATTTTATTTACAGCCTGTTAAATAATTTTTTAAATGGACTCTTACTTACAAGTAGCAGGTCAAAACTGTGGATGAGTCTGTCTTATTTGAGCTGCTCCCAAAAGTAGACGGGAGAGAGAAATACTTGGATAAGAAGACTTAAATTGCAGAATTACCAAGAAAACTTGAAGTATAATTCCCTGAACCTACTTGAAGTTTGTGCTTCTCCTGTGATTCTCTTACCTTCCTTCATATGAAGTTCTAGCCTGTAGATCAGACATTGTCTGGGCCTGAAAAGGGATTTTTGTTTAATTAGAGCTGTGTGAGGTACAGAGCCTTTCCCTTACTTTCCTATCTTTCTCTGAAGTGGTGAACTGATATAATTCCTGGTATACATGATTGTGGTCTGAGTCCCTTGAGCAGAAGCTAAATGTGACTTGTACCCAGCAAAAAGAGTCATACAGAGGTCAGTTGATCTCTGAATTCAGAATTTAGGGACACTCTACCCTGGAATGAAGCCCTCCCAAGTCCCCAGGATGGGCTGCTGGTACTGAGGACTGACACCAGAAAAGAGTTTATTTGCTTTTATCTCCAGTCTTAAGCTGAGAAGTAAACCTTCTGGTGACCATAGTGATGCTGCAGAGAGAAGTTTTTTCTTTCATCAACATAGGAACTAAAACTTAAATAACTTGAAATTTGGAGGTTAGTGAATGGAAGTGGCATGGCTGCCAGCGGGACCTGATTTTTTTTTTTTCCCTACCAATTTAGATGATTTGGTAGTAGGAAGATCTTTCCCTATTAAGCTCTCTTAGTACTTAAAATCTGTCTTCATCTGCAGACAATTAGGTGAGAATTTTTAGTTGAATTTCAACCTTATGCATTTTCTTAAATTATGTGTTAAAAAGTATTGAGCAGTCTTTTGACACATTTGGGAATTGGAAACATTTCAAACAGTGATTGTTCTTCAGGTTTTTTCATTTTTCTTTCAATATCTTGAAGGATCTATATGCAGTCTATGCAAGGAATTTCCATGTCTTGGCATGTAGCAGTCAGTGCCTGCAGCATGGGGTAATCTAGTTTTGGAATAGGCTTCCCAAATGGGTGGTGCAAGTTCCATCTTCAAAATTACTCAAGAACAGGCTGGAGAAAGCCCTGAGTAACCTGGTCTGATCAGAGCTGCCCCTGCTCTGACCAGGATATTGGACTAGAGACCTCAGCATCCTGATGAAGGTACATGATCAGAGCATTAGAAATTTTACATTTTGCCCTCACTTTCTACTGAGTGTCCTTCTCTGGCCTTAGGTTTCAAGAAGGAGTTTAAGGAGGAGTTCTGTATGTGGCTTTAACATGTGTTAACATGCAGAGGGTATTTCACTTCCTACAAACTTTATGGTTGCTGCTTACAATTTCAGCAGGATTGTATTTATTAGATTTAAGACTGCTTTTCTTTTGAAGAGAAGTTTAGTGAAAGTTCAGGAACTCACAATGGATGCTGTGGTGTCAGAAATGTACTTTGAGAGATCAGTATTCAGGTAGGAAGATGGTACTGATGCCTTTTTCAACCTAGAAATGGAACATCACATGCATTCAAGATAATACTAATATAGGAGGTAATATAAAAGTGGATCTTTATTTTGAGGCCTCCAGGGGCAGTCCACAAAAGCCTGTCCACACAGGGTGAATACAGTTTTTATAAGTTTAGTGAATTAACCTAATTGACAAAAAAGAGAATTAGGAGGACAAGTGGTAATGCAGTTCCCCCCCAGGTCAAGCCCCTTCTCTGGAGTCCCACCACAGTCCTAGCTGTACTTTGTTTATGCAAATGTATCTTGAAGAGTTGTTCTCAACCTTGGTAGTCAGGAAGAACCAAGACAGCATAGGGACCCTGGAATTTTTGTCTTTCTGCATATAGAAAGGGCATGGAAAATTACTGGGGAAAATAGCCACTAATACAATAGGCTCCAGAGCTACAAATGTATGTGCAAAGAATACAGAGGAAAAAAGCATATAGGAAAAAAAAGCAAAAAAATGGCATCATTACCATGCAGAAGTTGCCTTGCATCATTGCATCCACCCCTCTTGATTGCACAGGATGAAAATCTCAGCAGTGATGTGTCTTGGCCTCAAGAATTGGACAGGCAAACCACAAAAGCTGTGGTTCCAGCATCTTATGCACACAATTTGCATTCCAACAGTGTTTGTAAAAGTCAAAGATGGATTTCATTTAATCCCCCCAATTTTATAGCTCTCATTCGGTGCTGAGTGTTGTTACAGTGAATTCCTGTTTCTGCTTAAAGGCACAAACCTGTTATTAATAGAACATGGATTTCTGTATCTTATTATGGCATTATTTTAATTTTCTAGCCATATTTGTTGTAAATGCTTGAATTTTATAAGACCTAATGATCTGAAAAGCATTAGCATGCCTTTTGGATTTTTTTGTTTGTTCCTGGCCAACTAGAGATGTTAGCCTGTTAAATGGTAGGCAGTTGGAACAGTATAATAAGGTATTGGGTTAAAGCATGCAAAGATGTGTGATGTGGCCTTAAACAATTCTGAGAATAAACCTTACAAGCAGCTCAGCCTGGATTGAGCTCATGATTATTAATATATCATTGCTTGCATTAATAAATTCAGTTTCCAAGTCACGTTTGGGATTTATGTGCTGCATAGTTGTTTCATAGAATAAGATAATAAATAATATAGAATAAGCTATGAAGGGATGCTCATGTTTTCACGGGATTACATACAAGTGTGTGCATACATGTGTGCAAGTGAAGTCAGAACAACTTCTCAGTGAGACTGTGGAATTAAGGGTATACATAAACCATTCTTCAGAAAAAGTAAGGAAGGATAGCGTTCAAAATAATGACGGAATAAGATTCAAAATGCCATCAAAACAAATCTCATGAAACAGTTTTGTCAGCTGGATGAAAAATACTTCAAATGATGCTTTAACCTTGTTCTGTCGTTACCAGACAGTAGGATCATTGCAGTTAATTGCCCAAGCCCGTCCTCTGGCTGCTTGGGTAAGGCTCATCTGTGGTATATGGACTTGATATTTAGGAAGGCTGGTGCCCTGACTCATGGTGCCTGTTTGAGCTGAGTTGTCTAAAGACTTTACTGTCTCCAGCTGTCCCTCCTGATTCTCTTCAGGGTGTCTGGCAGAAAAACGGAATGGCAGTGTCAGGAAAATGCAGACTTGAGTTACTGGAGTGCTAGGCTTGGGGTAGTGATTTGTCCTGTGAAATGGAACCTCTCGCAGTATGGTCAGCTGGAGACAAACATCCTCAGCTGCTGCTGCCAAATCATGGAGGAAGCATGGACTGGACCCTACAGACAGATGGCACTGTTTAAAGTCCCAGTATTGATGGAGATACCTCTTTTAGATCTGTTTGTTCCCCTGCCTCATCAGCTGTTGCTGTCAACTGTTGCTGTGCTCAGTTTTGAAGAAATAAAGTCATTGTTGGTGCAGTAACAAGAGGGTGGCTTGGAACCAAGCTTTTGAATGACTTTATATCTAGAAGGCACTTCAGTACCCACCACAACTGAGTTCCTTCCTACTTAATGGTGTAAGCCTGATAGGATGGTGCTGTTGTTCAGACCACCTTACAGGTTGTCATGGAGCAGAATTTCCTCTCTAAAACTTCGGCTTGGGTAGAGGCTATGTTCTGTTCCACCTGAACATGAAGAACTTCTTTCCTGTGCAGTGACAGTGCACTGGGACAGATTGCCCAGAGAGGATGTGGAATCTCCCTTTTTGAAGTATTCCAGAACCCCTCGATGCAAGCCTGTGCTACATGCTCTGGGATGATCCTGCTGGAGCAGGGAGGTGGAACCAGATGACCCACTGTGGTGGCTTCCAGCTTTATCCACTCAGTGATTTTGTACTGGAAACATTTCCCAAACTTGAAGGCAGATGAGAATGTTTGAATAGTTGTAACCTCTTCCACCTTAATATTTGAAAATGTTGACTCTGTGCTGTTGCTGCTATCAGAGCTGTTCATAACCCACTGTGTATCAGCCCAGCTGGGTGAAATGGTACCTGCTGGGTTTCAAATACAGGTATAGGTTACCAAAATACTGCAGCAGGCAGACTGATCATTTGGCTTGAATTTTAAAGTGTCATAAGGAACACTCTGCATTTAACTGTTGGCATTTTTAGTTAAATTTTTCCTGCTCCAGGAAGTTATTTAAAATGGTGTTTGTGGAAAAACTGAATCTAATCCTCATTAAATTGCACAATAGTCGTTTGCAGCAGCTTTGGATCATTGTACTTCTGTGGATCTGGCATAGAAACCCTGGGATTGTCGTCATCTTCTCTTCAGCATGCAGAAGAGCATTGCCCAGCAATAATGTAGCTTTTTATCAATACACTGTATATTTGGTTGCTAGCAGAATTCAGCAGTTCCCTATAGTTTTTCTCATCATTAGTGCTAATTAAGCCAAGTTCCCCTGAATGCACATATGGGAAAAAACCTTACACAGCAGAAGAGCCATGTCTCTAGCTCTAGTCTTACAGCCAAGACTGGGACTCTTGCTATGGCTTTCTGGGATATTTTGGGTTGTATTTAGAGGAGATTAGGTTCATGGTAACTTTGCAAAGTAGAGACGAGCATGGTTCTGAAGGCTGAGCTATTATAATTAATCTCACAGCATAGTATATGTTCTCATTTGGTTTGAAGAAGGAACTACTCCATTTTATCTAGAGATGACAAAGCATGAAAGTCGCTCTGTTGGGTTTGATTTCCGAGCTGTGAGATGGATCTAAGCCCACCACATCTTCTCAATTCAGGTTTAATACTTCTGCTCTATAAAGAGCTTATTTAAAGGAGAGTATTATGAAGTGGTCTCTGTTAGAACTGATGGCATTTCATTACACTTAAAAGGATTTTTATAAGTAAGAAGTGGGCCTGGAACTAGGTCTAATTACATTACTTTGTTAATGTGGTACCTTTTTATGCCTTTTTTCAGAGTAGAACAGCCCTCCAGGCTACTGTGCCTGTAAGAGAGATCCTGAAAGTATGATTGCAGCATGGCTGGTGCAATGATGTCTTTCCAAGGGAACCCGGAGCTGAGGACTGTCCTTCCCTATGCAGTGCAGGCTTTGATGGGCTAATGCAACACTCTTCCCGGTCTGCTTACCAGATGTTGGGGGGAAAGTTAATTAACACACCGAGCTGACTTTCTAGTCTCTTTTTCTGTGCTTCAAATAGAGGTTTGACTCGGGATATCGAATTCTCATCAGATGTTTGGAGCCTGGAGGAGGAGAGGTGATGGGAAGGGTACCCTGGCTACATTCAGTAACTGCTGGTGCCACTGGAGCTGGGATATTCCAAACAACTCTAAAGAATGGGATCAGCCTGAAATAGCTTGGGGTCCTCTGTCCCACAGTTTTTTAGACATCCATTAGACTTGAATCTGATCTACTGAGAGTAGCCAAGATGACCTCACCTTGATGAGAGAACAAATCTGGCAAATTTCTGGTGATCTGGAGGTCACATCTAACCTAAGGTAATGTGGTTCTTAGGGATAAAAGTGTTTGCTCTCTTAGAGCGACTTAGAATGACTTTGAGTGGTAATCTCATTTATACATTTAACTTATCTATCTCAATAACTGTTTACAGAGAATTGAGGTTTAAGTGGTCCGTTCTTGACTAGAGATTACAACAACTTTTCTGGGATCATGACATGCTTGCTCAGTTTATATTTTGGAAAACATTTGGCAGCCTGGGAGTTTGAATCAAGAAATATGTTCTGCAATGGTGGTCTGTCCTTGTCCCTATGGCACAGATTAAGGACTCAGAAATAAAAGCAGTGACCTAACTTAGATGGTGCTCTGGAATAAGGAGTAACTAATGGAACTGCTGCTTTATTAAAGAGAAAAACCTCAGTGGCTTTTTGTTTCAGCCACTCACAGCTTTAGCAAAACAGGCTTTTGATACTGAAACTTGATATACTTTGTCTCAAAGTATGACAAAATTTGGGCTTTGAGCTAATAGAATACAAAATCTGAGTCCTTTACTGCAGCTTTCTATGCTTGAGCATAGGTTTGTTTTTAAAAAACACCTATTAGTATGCTAGTGCATATTTAATGACACTAATTACTTTGCTTAATTACTTAAAATACCAGTCTGTTGTAAAAAGTGTCTCAGGTGAGATATTAATACCAATTTCTGTATTGGTCCCATGTGCTTAATAGTCTGCACTGGTGCCCATGGTGTTGGATCGTAACCTAAATTTCTAATATTTGGCTTTCATTTCTCAAAATGAGCATTGGAAAGAGATAGCCAGGCTTGGGATTCTTAGAAGTGACAGGATACCCCTTGGAGGCCATGGAGTGGAAGCACAGAGTAAGAAAGACATCAAGGAAATGTAAGTGAAGGACAAAAGCCGCTGCTGGCATCTCTCATTCTTCTCACCAGTTAAGTCCTGATGATATATCCACGTTGTCATTAAATTTGGGACTCAACAGCAAGATCGGAGTTGATGTTAGAGGTGCAGAAATAGAAACAGCACTAGGCTGGGCAGAAACAAAATTGAAAGGCTTTGGTATATCCAGAGAGGAAAATGTCTCTGTGTGTGTGTATATAGATAAATACAGTTCCCTGAATAATCTACTTTGTAGCAATGGCAACTCCTACAGTCACAGATCTTGGTAGCGAGTCAGGGCTGAGGCATTTTTGATTACAGTAGCAATTGTAGACTGTGTATGGAAAGGAGAGAGGAGCAGCTGGCTGAACACCTTTAGCTGTACCTGGTGGTGCAATTAAAGGCAAATGCACTTAGAGGCAGCCTTGCCTTTTCCTGTTTTCAAACCATGGATACAGTACATAGCTCTGTTGATATCTGGTATGAACCAGTTGGACACGGATTACTGACTGCTTCTGTATGAGTTAATACCCGAAACGTGTGTGTGGTTCTTAAAAGTGTAACTGGCGGGGAGGGAACCCTCCTCTGCCCCAAATCAAATCTTCTAGCAAGTACCTCCTAGTTGTAGTGTGACTTGTTGCACACCAGTCTTGCTGTTGCCTTGTTCATAACCCCTATCCTGAGGCAGCTGCTCCATTTCTTTAATTAATTTAGTTGCCCATCTGTATGCATTCCCTAACTCCAGCGCATCCTCTGGGGATGTGGAGAACTGCACACACCAGCAGGATGCAAATGTAGTAAGGCTTTACACAATGGCAGAGCTGCTAAATACTCTTTCTTTACTCTTTCTCTGCTGCTCTATCCTCAACACCAAAGCAGGCTTCCAGGCATGTTTCAGAAGCAATTTATTTCATAATTCTATTTGCTAGCTATGAGTGTCATAGCTAACATAGCTCCAAGGTCATAGGCTTTACTGTTAAAATAAAACAGTTGATTTATAATCTCATAGATTGGGAATTAAGATAAACAGTGGAGAAACCAGAACCCTTGAGTATGTGCTTACTTTCTAGCAGCTCTTAGTGATATTTCCATAAGATGTAGGTTGTCAACTTCTTAGGAGAATGAAAACAGTGATTTTGCAATGAGAGATGTCTCTCTTCTATTTTCCCTAGAACAAAACCATCAGATCCTTTCAATTTGATTTATGTAAGTAATTCTGTGGCATGTTTATAAAGCTTTTTCAAATATCCAGCTGTTCATGTGTCCCCAAAAGATGCCTTACAGAATTTTTATTAGTCTTTGTTGGTCAGAAATGTGGAGTTTAAAAGTAGGCTAAAAAAAAAATTTAACAACTTGTAACTGTTTTAACAAGTCCATCTTTGAGGAGCAAGGACCACTGCTGGTCCAAAAGGTAATTTCACTGGGGGTTTTAATTATTTCTTATTACTCTATTGCATGTTGTTATTATGCTAATGAGGAATTTGCTTGGACTGTGGAAATATATCACCTGCAAAGCTGAATATTGTCTTTCTGAGCTGGCTCTGTTGAGTCTTTTGACAAGACAAAACAAAACTTAAATTTTCTGGGGAATTTTCATATAGATAAGCTTGTGTATAAGCAAGTGCTTACCTTGACACAAAGACTTCAAGCAGCAAGTGACAGGAATACCCACAAGCTAGTTAAATGCAAGTAAGTCTTGCATAATACTATGTGTATTTAAAAGACTTGCAAGAAAGAGCATTAAAATAATGGTTGCTGTGCAAGTAGGCTGTTTGTCCTAATGCTGATTAGTCCAGGTGTAAGCAGAGCTTTGCAGATATTAGGAACAGTTTTATATGGTATATAATCCACTTGATTAGATATTTTAGATTGTTCCTCTTTGTATTTGTAAATTACTGATGAAAAGCTGACTGGCAGAAAGTGAGAACACTGGCTGTCCCAGGAGTGAGCATGGGTGATGGGAGGCCAAGGTACAGGTGTGTGTTAGTCTGTACTAGTAGTGGTTTATTTCTGCTTTCTTTTTCTCCCTGCAGTGTCTTTGATGCTGTTTGAAGATCACAAGCCTGACAATTCCATTGCTTAAGGCTTTTTATTTTTTTTAATGATGTGTTAACTTTTATGGGCATATTGAAATACTCATTTATGTCTACAGTATGTCTCTATTAAAAAAAAATTGAATTAATGCTAGAGAAGCAAACCCAAATGAGAGAGGTTCTATTCTGTTCTAATAACTTGGCTTTTTTACCAGACATTGTAATGCATTCTTTTTCTTTTTTCAGCAGAAGGCTGAGGGTTTAAATTGAATCCAGGCCAATGAATCGCTGCCATCAGTTTAGTTGTGCTTTACCTGAATCCACAGGGCAGTGATTAGGAGCAGAGACAGTGGTTCAATTAAGACTGTGGTACAAGTAAATCTATTGTATTGTTATAGAGGCTTTGGTTATAAAATTCTTCCACACTACTGGGTGAGCTGACAAAACAAGAAAGGCTTGAATGGTGTTTTCATCCTGTGTGTATAAAAAGTGATTTAGGCTAATGTAGATCCAGGGAGTAGGGAGAGCAGCCTGGATGCTTAGGTGACTTCTTTCCCTTTGCCATTTTATTTAAATAGATGCCTATATGTTCGTTTAATCCCCCAGCCATAAGCATGTTCCTCCCTGCATTTTGGAGGCTCATGATTTTGCAGGCTGCACCTGACTAGCAGTGAGTTGTGAGTAGGGCCATCTCCTGCCACTGCCTGGGAGAAGTCCAGGTGCCTGAGTTAAAGGGCCAACTTTCAAGCTGCTTCTCTGAATTATTTTATAGCAACAGACTGCATATCAACAATCTTTTCTCTCCCTAGTTTAAAAATAACTTGATGATATCTCCTTTACAAATACTTGAAAATTCTGTTGTTGTTTAAATTTATCTTCCCTGGGAAACATTGCATTGCCTTGCCTTCAACTTCTCAGCTGTGTTGGTGTTTAAATTTATCTTCCCTGGGAAACATTGCATTGCCTTCAACTTCTCAGCTGTGTTGAGGAGTGGCAAGCTCTTGCTGTTACAGCTATGGGGGCAGCCTGAAGAGCCCTTTCTCTTCTTGTAATTGGTTTAATGCTTTCTAATAGTAGAAAGGTACCTTAAATACTCCTGCTCTCAGGATTTTGAATGTGAAATCAGTGTAAACTCAGTTTTCCCTGCTACCAGTAAGAGCTTCTTCCCTGGTTCATAAGCACTCTGGATTCTTAATGGGGGGGAGAAAAACGTGATAGAGACAGCCCGGATTTAAATGAATTAGTAAGTAGAAGAACGCCAAAAGAGTTCTCTCTAAACAATAGATTGATTGCTTAGTCAGAAGACTTGGGGACAGCTGGTTACTGATCACAGAAACCTTGTGAATGAAGGCAAATGCTGCCACAACACCCTTTCTGTGGAGGTGTCTCGTTGAGACTGATGCCCTCAAAGGAAACAGGTGTACATGCACCTGCCCTGCCAGCAATGCCACGGGCTGCAGGAAAGCAAAAGCTCCTGGGAAGTAGGATTACTCCCCTAGCTACTGGATGTCTAGCAGATTTTTCTCAAGCCCTTCCAAGCTGTGACGGTAGGAATGACGTTAGCTATTTGTAACCTGCTGCCTGCATTTTTCTTTGATCTCTTTCATGTACAACCTCAGGCTTTTTTCATTTGCAGCTTAACTTTGTTACAGTTTGACTGCTTTTACTTCCAGCTTCATTGATATTTATTACAAACTTGCCCTGCAGGTCAAGAAAGAAGGAGCCTCTGTTTGCACAACAACCCTAAGTGGAAGTTATAGTGTGTGCTGTTTTTACAGTACTGATGATCTGATTTTGAACCCCTGTTGTTACCCAGGGAATTTAGAAGCATTTTTTTCATGAATACTGCTTTGCTCTGCATTGGCACTTAGAAGTTCCTGAAGGTGTTGTACACAGGAGGAATCAATGGGCAGTCATGCCATGGAATGTTAAGCCCATTTCCAGGACAAGTTGTTGGCTTTGGCCTTTGAGTACCATGTAATGTAGAAGATGATGTGGCTGAACTGAAAATCCTCCACAGCACAGAACGAATATCCTGGCTGTGAGAGGGTGATTGTGCTGCCACAAAAATGGAGATGTGTGTGTGTTAATGGGGAGTGGATTAGAAAAAAATGTTTAGAGCAAGAACTCCACACTGTTGTGATGTGGGCCAGCCAGGGTGTTTTGAACTGGATATTTGCAAACTGTGAATTGTGATTTTCAACTCAGCCATACCAGGATGTTTAGGAGGTAAAATATTCTCCTGGTAAGTATATGGAGTGTTTATTATAGAGTTCTCAACCTGTATTTTTGTTTCTCAGTATTGAGTTCGACAGAGACTGTGACTATTTTGCCATTGCTGGAGTGACAAAGAAGATTAAAGTCTACGAGTATGGTACAGTCATTCAAGATGCAGTGGATATTCACTACCCTGAGAATGAAATGACCTGTAATTCCAAAATCAGGTAGGCATTGATTTGTATTTGAACTCGGAGTGTCTTTTCCACTTCATTTAGACATAGCTTGTCTCAAAGTAACCTCTGTACCCAGTTCTTCATAACAGTTACTGATTCCTCAGT